GACAGAGAGTCAGGGAGGAGCAGAGAGAAAAGGAGACACAGAATCTGAAGCAGGCTACAGGCTCTGAGGTGTCAGGAGAGAGCCCGACGTGGGGCTCAAACTCACGAACTGTGAGATCATGACCTGAGCTGAAGTCAGACACTCAACCGACTAAGCCACCCAAGTGTCTCTAATCTCCTTCATTTTAACTGCTGGGTAGGATCCCACCTGAGGAATAAAGCAGAGCTCATTCCCCTACTGAAAGGCAGTAAGTTGAAATCACTGTTTTGTTAGTAGAGGAAGACTTTCATATCCTAGAACATGTTTTGTTATGTACAGGCTGAAGAGTTTCCCTGGGGCATATATTAATGCCCTAAAGTGGAGGCTGGTTGCTAGCTCTGGGGCAAAAGCATCTTTACTGAGAATGGATATTGCCAGAATACTCCTTGAGTGGTTCTTCGAATTCACATGTCTGCCATGAAAATAAAGAATTTTAATTTGCCAGAACCTTAACCCACTCCACTAATGTAACTAGCCCCTGGGGACTCTACACTCTTCACTTTGCCTGTAGGAGAATGAGTTCACTGACTACGGAGTGTGAGGAAAACCATATGCTGCTGTAGGGACTCTTGATGGGTTTCATTCCACAATAGAATTTTTGCAGGTTTTTGGGCAGATATGTAGTAGGTTAATGGAAGGCTTTCAAAAGCCACTTGGGATCTACTCTCTTGGTAGAAGATTTAAACTTATTTCTCTCAGAAATTAGACAGCAAGCTAATCACAAAGGGTATAAATACTTGCGGAATGCAAGAAGCTTGGTGTATACGTAAAATGTGGTAATACTTGTTTTCGAGCACAAATGGCAACTTTATAAATATCTGCCACATACTAGGCCAAATAGCAAATTTCAGTCAATACCCAGACATGGAAGGCTCTTTAAACACTGTGCTATGAAGGCAGAAAACTGAATAAACGGATAAGCTGAAAAGTACCGTCTGCATAGAAACTGTGTGTGTGTGTGATGAAAGAATCATGCTCGAAGAAGAAACAATAATGGCAATTTCGAAATATGTCTGAGTGACAGTAAAAAACTTTATATAGAACACCCAGGATGCAACCCAGGTGGGCCTGCGGGCAAATTTTAAGTGTTAAGATGCTTAACATAGAAAAGAAGAAAAAGATGGTTGTTATAGAGCTAATTATCCACCTGTAGAAATAAGAAAAAGAACAAACTCAAAGGAGAAAGAACATAAACATGAACAAGAAACAGAAATATCTGGAGATGGGTTTTCTTTTCTTTTTAAGCTTATTTATTAAGTTTTGAGTGGAAGAGGTAGCACAATTGGGGGAGGGGCAGAGAGAGAGAGAGAGAGAGAGAGAGAGAAGAGGTGAAACAGAATCTGAAGCAGGCTCCAGGCTCTGAGCTGTCATCACAGAGCCCAATGCGGGGCTTGAACTCACAAACCACAAGATCATGACGTGAGCTGAAGTCAGACACTTAACCAACTGAGCCACCCAGGCTCCCTGGGAGTACTCTTCTCTTAAAACTTTTTATTTTGTGGAGGAGTTTGTTGAGGATTATCTTTAAGTTTAAGATTTGTTAAATCTCACCGATAAAGACATCGGGGCCTGGTACTGTTTTTTGATGGAGGGAAATTAGTCGCTCACATTTTATTTTTTATTTTATTTTTTTTAACACATCCAAACATAGTTTACCCTTTGGATGCAAGCATAGTTTAATAACAGGAAATAGATAATACATCATATCAATAGGTAAAATTTAAGAATAGATTAAAAAATAAATTAATAAAATGTAACACCTAGTCATAATTAAAAGCAAAAAAATACTTAGCACATTAGGAATAAAACAAAATTGACTTCACATGCACAAAATCTAGATTAAATCAACTGTCATTATATTTAATGGTGAAACACTGTCAATATTCCTCCTAAAATCAGAAGATAGATAATAGTATACAAATTCTAAAATAATTTAAATATTTTTCTGGGGATTCTAGTCCATTGGATAAGTTCCTGGTGGAATAAAGAGTTAAGTGTATACATAGGAGATATTTCTAAGATTTTAGAAAGTGAAAAATTAGCTGATTTTGCTCAAAGTACCTACTTATCAAAGAAATGAAAAAACAGCAAGGAAAATATATTTGTCTTTATAAAATTAAGGGTTTTTTTTTTTACTTTAAAAGTAAAAAAAATGGGAAAAGTGTTTTAAAACCCTCACAAAGTGTATTTGTGTGTGTATGCATGTATTTGTGCACATATTACTTATACTTCAATAAGTTTCAAAAACATAACAAATTGATAATGCCTCAATACATTGAGAGCACATATAAGTCTTTAATAAAAATTCTTTTTTTAAAAATTCATGTTTTAAATTTACATCCAAGTTAGTTAGCATATAGTGCAACAATGATTTCAGGAGTAGATTCGTTAATGCCCCTCACCCATTTAGCCCATCCCCCCCTCCCATGACCCCTCCAGTAACCCTCTGTTGTTCTCCATATGTGTCTTATGTTTTGTCCCCCTCCCTGTTCTTATATTATTTTTGCTTCCCTTCCCTTATGTTCATCTGTTTTGTATCTTAAAGTCCTCATATGAGTGAAGTCGTATATTTGTCTTTCCCTGACTGACTAAGCCTCTAGTTCCATCCATGTAGTTGCAAATGGCAAGATTTCATTCTTTTTGATTGCCAAATAATACTCCATTCCACACACACACACACACACACACACACACACACACACACGTATGTATGTATAATATATATAATCGTCTTTATCCATTCATCCACTGATGGACATTTGGGCTCTTTCCATGCTTTGGCTATTGTTGATAGTGCTGCTATAAACATTGGGGTGCACGTGCCCCTTCAAAACAGCACACCTGTATCCCTTGGATGAATACCTAGTAGTGCAATTGCTGGGTCATAGGGTAGTTCTATTTTAATTTTTTGAGGAACCTCCTTACTGCTTTCCAGAGTGGCTGCACCAGTTTGCATTCCCACCAGCAGCGCAAAAGAGATCCTCTTTCTCTGTATCCTTGCCAACATCTGTTGTTGCCTGAGTTGTTAATGTTAGCCATTCTGACAGGTGTGAGGTGGTATCTCATTGTGGTTTTGATTTGTATTTCCCTGACGATGAGTGATGTTGAGCATTTTTTCATGTGTCAGTTGGCCATCTGGATGTCTTCTTTGGAGAAATGTCTATTCATGTCTTTTGCCCATTTTTTCACTGTTATTTGGGTGTTGAGTTTGGTAAATTTTTTATAGATTTTGGATACCAACCCTTTATCTGATGTGTCATTTGCAATTATATTCTCCCATTCTGTCAGTTGCCTTTTAGTTTTGCTGATTGTTTCCTTCGCTGTGCAGAAGCTTTTTATTTTCATGAGGTTCCAATAATTCTTTTTTTTTTTTTTTGTTTCTTTGCCTCTGGAGACATGTTGAGTAAGAAGTTGCTGTGAACAAGGTCAAAGAGGTTTTTGCCTGCTTTCTCCTTGAGGATTTTGATGGCTTCCTCTCTCCAATTTAGGTCTTTCATCCATTTTGAATATATTTTTGTGTGTGGTGTAAGAAAGTGGTCCAGGTTCATTTTTCTGCATGTCGCTGTCCAGTTTTCCCAGCACCACTTGCTGAAGAGATGGTCTTCATTCCACTGGATATTCTTTCCTGCTTTGTCAAAGATTAGTTGGCCCTATGTTTGTGGGTCCATTCTGGCTTCTCTATTCTGTTTCATTGATCTGAGTGTCTGTTTTTGTGTCATCATATTTTATTTTCTTCATGGTTATTGCTCTATTCATATTGTGCCTTTATTCTGAGGTGAGGTTTGGTGATTTGCATTTATCTAGATAATCGTTCATTTCATCCACGCGTGACAATACACTGGCCTAGCTTTTGTGGTTGTCTCTGATAAACTTTTCTTGTATCTACCTGATAAGCCCTCAAGATTTTATCAATATATCAATTGAGCTTTCTCTCTGTCTCTAGAATCTGCTAGGTAGTATGTGATCACTTCTGGCCTATCTTCGGTAAGAACCCTGTTAGGTCAGCTTAGAAGGAATTACTCTACCTCTTGCTAATTTTCCATCCACTGACTTCCCCACCCCTGCTCCTTGGCTGTAAGTCACCACTTTTCTTATTGATTTGGAGTTGAGTCCAATCTGTCTCCCCTACTGCAAAGCCATTGTAGCAGCGTGCCTCACTCTCTGTAATGAGTGTCAGAACAGTTTTTCAATAACACATGGAAACCGGTAATTACAATATGGTTGATGAGGTGAAACGAAAGTACATAACAGGGGCTGTGGGGTTACAATGGAATCAATTAGGGGCTTGTAAAGTTTCAGGAATTTGTAAAGTATTAAGACAATAGAAGAGATGGTGTTTAGAATGAATTAAAAGACTGGGAAATAACAGGTGGGGGAGACTGAGAGAAATCAGCCCACGTTTATGGGCAGGGCAAGGAAGGACCCATAGAACAAGTGTCCACAAGAGCTTAGCTGTCTCATAGGCATTTCAATATTTTACGTCCTAATGGAGGCTCTGGAATGTTTTTCTTTCCCTCGCGTTTTCCCCGAACTACTACCCCAGTTCCCAATATCACAAAATGGTACCACGGCCTTCTGTGTGTTGAGCAAGCGAAAATCTGGATAAGGAGCCGTGAGGACCTTGCATGGTGGACGCACGTGTCGGGTGTGTTTGGGGACATGGGTGTGTTTGGGGCTGGAGATGGATGCCTTCCCAGCACTCCGTGGCCTGTGGCGTTTGTCCTGGGAGTTCTGAGGCTGGACTCGGGAAACCTGTCAGTGGGGATGGGTCAAGGAGAGCTGGGGCTGTAAGAAAGTGTAAGAGTAACGATAATTTTCACCAAAAATGAAAGTTCTGGCTGAAGAAACGCGGTGGATGTTCATAATCTTCTGTGTTGGGGAAATAGGACAATTCGTATACTTTTTCAGTGTTAAAACGGATTTGTTGACAGGAAAATCCAAACCTTTACACTTTGTTTCAGGTGAGACAAGCTGAGCGTCATCGTCAGGAAGAAGGCAGCTGACGGTCCACTTCCAGTGTGACTCTTTCATCTAGATGATACTTCCAGATTCTTTGTTCATCATCTGCTGAAAAGCACGTGTGACCCAAGCCAGTGCGGTCCCCAGAAACCCATCGTGAATTCCATATTGTCTGACAGAACGTCTTACACGTGGACTCTCAGACTCAGGTGGTACCTGTGGGTCTATGTGTTAGAAATCTGAACTCTACAAGTTTTCTGGTTTGCTGGTCACCAGAGAAACCTGATGTTCCTTATGCCCCAGCACTGCCCTGTTCCCTTTCTCTTTCTGTCAGCACAGGGCTCCCACCGTGAGCCTGAGGGTCCCTAGTCCATGGTGGTCACGGGGCTCTGAGGACGAGCAGCCATGGACTCTGTGAGACGGAACCTGCGTGCTGGCAGGTGCTCAGTCTCGGCCTCTCCCAGATCACCCGGGACCTATGTCAGTGGTTTATATTCTTGTTCATGGTCATGTGAGGACACCTGGTGTCTGAGGGGAGAAGGGAGGATGAGACTTCCCAGTAATGAGGTGTTAGCTTCTGCCAGTTCCCTGCTGAGGGTGGGTTTTTATTTGTGTGTGTGTGTTTCTTTCTAGTATATTCAAGCTGCATGAGGAATAGAAACAAAAGATAAACAGGAGAAAATGTAATTTGGATTATCTTATTCTACTCAGGCCTATAAAGTACAGACATGCAAGTGATCTCAGTCGAACACAGGACACAAAGAAGAGGGAAGGATGCAAGCGGTTAATAGTGACTCGACCGGTGACTCTCTGCCTCTTTAGCTGCAACGTACAGGACAGAGCTGGCCACCAGCAGGGCAGCCAGGAAGCAGCGTCCCAGGCTGTGGCTCAGGAAGAATCTGCTCCAGGTGGGACCTCATCCAGTCCATGTGCTCTGTTGGTCGCCCTGCTGCCCACCAAAATCCATCCCCACCAAGTCTGAAGACTTCTCAGCCAAGGCAAAAGCCGTGAGGATCAGGTCCCACTGTTCGGACTGCACCCCCCACTCCTCTCCGGCCTCTCGCAGAAGCTGGGATGCAGCTGAACCAGGGCCCCCGGCCCCTCTCGTCCATCTCATCTGCACACATGATTCAAACGTTCCCTTCTGGCGTCCACACAGGCTCAGCCTGCATGCATCCCCCTCTATTCCAGGTCTTTCCCTCGACCAGCTGCTGAAGCAAGATCATGAGAGTCACTGCTGAATCTTTCTGGTCATCCTGTCCCACATGGGAACTGTCACCAGAGACTCCATAGGTCCCCCACCAGCCCCAATATTTCTCATATCTCTCTACCACCTTCTTGTCCCCTCTGCCACGAGTCCACACTGTCATTTCCTATGTGGACCTGGCCGAGTCTACTGCTCCTGTAACAAATTACCACACACTTAGTGGCTTTAAAACAACACAATTTGTGGGGCCCCTAGGTGGCTCAGTCGGTTAAGCGTCCAACTTTGGCTCAGGTCATGATTTCGCGGTTGGTGGGTCGAGCCCCACGTCGGGCACTGCTGACAGCCAGCTCAGAGCCTGGAGCCTGTCCTCAGATTCTGTAACCACCCACCCCCTCTCTGACCCTCCCCTGCTCACGCTGTCTCTCTCTCTTTCTCAAAAATAAATAAAACATTAAAAAAAAATCCCACACACAATTTGTTATTCTGTGCCTAGGTGGCTCAGTCACTCAAGAGTCTGACTTCATCTCACGGCATGATCTTGCAGTTTGTGGGTTCAACCCTGCATTTGACTATGTGCTGACAGCTCGGAGTCTGGAGCCTGCTTTGGTTTCTGTATCTCCCTCTCTCTGCCCTTCCCCTGCTTGTGTGCTGTCTTTCTGTCTGCCTCTCTCTAAAAAATAAAAATTAAAAAAATTTTAAAAAGGAAAATGCTTAAAGAAAAACAATTTGTTAGAGTTTTTAATCTTACGGTCAGATTAGAAACCTGACACAGATATCTCCATAGGGATTCCCCAAATTAATCCGCCTATTTAAAGTTCCACCTATTGGGGCACCTGGGTGGCTCAGTTGGTAAAGTGTCCAACTTCAGCTCTGGTCATAATCTCACAGTTCGTGGGTTCGAGCCCCATGTCGGGCTCTGTGCTGACAGTTAGTTCAGAGCCTGGAGCCTGTTTCAGATTCTGTGTCTCCCTCTCTCTCTGACCCTCCCCTGCTCATGCTGTCTCTCTCTCAGAAACAAATAAAACATTAAACTAAAAAATAAAATAAAGTCCCACCTATTAACAATCTGAATTCCCTGTTGCTATGCCAGATCTCATGTTCACAGGCGCTGGGGAGCAGGGGATGGACACATTTGGGGGTCACACTATTGCCTATCAAGCTCAGTTTCCACCGTCTCCTCTCTCTGGGGCCTTCTCCATCCGGCAAGCACAGCATTACCACCATTATAACATCTGGGCCCTCAGTGTCCAGCCTACATTGTCCACTGTCCCTGGTCCCATCCCCTCTCCAGTGCCTTGGGCCTGGAGTTGCTTCTGGTTACAAGTCTACGGTGTCACTTCTAGCAACGTGAGGTTCTTCTCTGGGGTCCCTGATTTCAGTCCAGGAACTTCACATTCAGCAAATCTAAAGAGTATTTGAGGATGGGGGTTGGGGCGCCGTAAATCCTTGCCTTGGTCAGGAGGTGGAAATGCTCAGCAGGAGTTGAGGCCGGTGCGTGAGTGCCCTCTAGTGGATCGTTCCTGCTGCTGGAAGAGCAAACAGGGGCCTGGACAGGAGACAGGAGGGCTCAGCTTGGACAAAGGGCACTTTCAGGTTCAGAGGAGCCATATTTAGCAGTAATGAACTTACGGCTGCCTGTGGTTCAGCAGCCTGAACACTGCTTTTGCCAAGGATGTGACCACAAATCAGAAGGACACCACTGGGTTACAAATGCCATGTCAGCTGAGAGAAATTCTTGTAGACACTGGGACGCAAAATACGTTCGTACCACAAATCTATATGTGATGTCATTAGACATGTCCTCTAATGTAGCCACCATCCTGAGAGGAATTTAGCCATGAAATCAGAGTCATACCTTCACTTGCAAGAAATATCTTGTAAGAAGAACTTGATATAGTAGGAAGTCCTCTTTATCTTTAGAATCATATACCTTGGTGTCATTCCTTAACTATGATGACCCTAAAATGGACTTAGTTCATGGCTGGCCAGTGTTGGGATCTGGTTCCCGGCACCTGTGGGCTGACAGCACCCTGCCCTCCAACCCTGGGCCCTTTTCTGAACCACAGGAGCCTCGTGCTCCGTCATTAAAGGAGAGGGCCTTTTGGATACACGTATACTGTTTCGAAGGGGCACATGCACCCCAAGGTTTATAGCAGCGCTATTGACAATAGCCAAACAATGGCCAGAGCCCAAATGTCCAACAACAGATGAATAGATAACAAAGATGTAGTACATAAACACACGCGCACACGCACGCACGCGCACACACACACACACACACACTCACACACAATGGAGTATTGCTCAGCAATCAAAAAGAAATCAAAAAAGAAATTGCAATCAAATCTTGCCTTTGCAGCTACGTGGATGGAACTAGAGGGTATTAGGCTAAGTGAAAGTTAAATATCATATGACTTTACTCACATGAAGAATTTAAGATACAACACAGATGAACATAAGGGAAGGGAAACAAAAATAATATAAAAACAAAGAGGGGGACAAGACCCAAGAGACTCTTAAATACAGTGAAAAAACTGAGGGTTGCTGGACGGTTTCTGGGTGGGGGGATGGGCTAAATGGGTGAGGGGCTTTAGGGAGACACTTGTGACAAGCACTGAATGTTACACACAGGCGATGAATCACTGGAATCTACTTCTGAAATCTTTATCGTACTATATGTTAGCTAACCTGGATGTAAATTTAAAAATAAATTTTAAAAAGGTTAAAAAAAGGGAGGGTCTTTTGGAATTCTCACCATTCACCTGTCCACCTCTGGAGTCTGAGCGGAGGGAGGTTGCGGGGAGGGGGACGGGGAGAGGCTGGCGGGGTGGGCTATGCCCTCAGGTGAGCAGACGGCTGATTGGCCGGTGAGGGGTCTGAGCGGGAGATCTGTGCGCCCCCTTGTGACTCAATCCCGACCCGCTCCAGAAAGCTGAGCTCCTGTCCTCTGTGCACATGCATTGACATGGGGATTGTATCTGAATTCCTACGACAGAGCACTCACCCTGCCCTCAGTATCAAGGGCAGGAGGTTGGAGCTCCAGAGCACAGTCCGCACCGTTTCTCCCCAAACCGCATGACGACCACAAGGTGTGGTTGTATAGGCCATGCCAGTCTGGGCGTGTTGGGGTCACCGCTGTTTGGAGGTGCTTTCCCATGAAGCTGCCCTGATCCTATAACACGTCCGGTGTCTTGGACACGAAGAAGGGACACGGGGCGCAGGGTTTGCTTGGCTGGAGGCTTTTTACATAAGAAGTGTGTTTCATCGATTTTTTTTTTTTTCAAACCTAGAATCATCTCCAGTTTGGTCGTTGATTTGGCCAGAGCAAAATAGCAGATGAAATTTTTAAAAGAATGAAAATCATCTCATTAGGGATTGAGAGACACTCAGGGCTTCCCATTTCTGTGAATTCTGCCTGGCTCGAGTTGCTGTGGAATTCACATGGAAGATGAACACACGCTTTTGCCCAGTAATGCAGGGCTGGCTTCCCCGGCGCAATCTGTACAGTCTTGCAGTGATTTACATGCGCGGGAGCTGGGGCGCCTGGCCGTGTCAGTAGAAAGAGCCTGAGACTGTAGAACTCGGGTTTGTGAGTTCAAGTCCCACTTTGTGTGCTGAGATTACTAGAAAAAATAAATTAAAAAGAAAAAAGGAGCTTGTGATAGGTGTCATTGTGTGCTTTTTACATCTTGAAATTCTTAATTACTTTGACCAAGGAGCCCTGCATTTTCACTTTACATTGGGTCCTGCCATTTTGGTAGCTGGTTCTGCGGGGAGAATTGACCACGGAGGGGCAGCCAGGGTGCAATAGTACTATAGGCACCAGAGGGGGGCAGCACCACAGGGTAGTCTGAAGAGATGGGCAATGTGCGCCAGGAGTTTGGCTTTGTGTACTGCCTTTGTGTTCTCATAGGACTCTAAGTATCTCCACCCCTTTACCGTTTCTCCCCAGGTCACTGAAAGAATGTTCTCCAGCCCGGATGTACTTCAGGTACACATTTTTGACTCCACAATCCAAGGTGGGGGCCTGGGTGATCGTAATTACTCTGTTCATACAGGAATAGCATTAAACAGTAGAAAATGTCTACGCTAAATACAGGCCTTAGGAAACTACTACAGAGACAGAGAAGGGAAAGTGTTTGTGGCTTCTGGTGATGGGGAAGAAAGTACTGAGTTCCTATTTTCCAAGAGGGAAGTGAAAAGTCACTAAGTAGCCTCAGACCATGTTGAGCAGAGATGACTGGGGTTCCGTCCGCGGGAGCTGGTGCTGTTTCAGGGAGGTCTACTCAGCGTGGCCCCTGATAGAGAAGTCAGGGCTTTCCTGGGGTCACCCTGACACAGAACACTTGGTGACACAGGGCTTATCATGGCAACATCCAGTGTGGTCACCACCACATGAAAGAATGTGGGACGGGAGGAGCCAGAACTGTGGGCTCA